CAGGTACGCTCCTCCCCACAGTTACCTGGCAACAGCCAGGTAGGCCTGCCCACTATAAAAGGGGCTGCTTGGCCCCTCCTCACTCTCTTACTCCCTTACTCTCTTGCCTGCAGGTTCTCCTCTGCCCCCTCCCCCCTTCCCTTCCCCCTCTCTCCACGTGGTCATGGCTGGCCTTTACTCCTCTACCTCTCTCTCTGCTCTCTCTCTCTCCTCTCGCTCTCTTCTCTCCAACCTAAATAACCCCCCAGGGGGGGGCGCGGCCCCCCCCCCCCCGTGCGAAAATCTAACAATGGTGCCGAAACCCGGGAACGAAGACTTCAGGGACCTCGAGACCTGTGCAGCCGCTGGCTCCGGTTGCTGTGACCATGCAGGATGGACACAACGCCACGGCCACCACTGCTATACCACGCAGACTTCATCTGCTGCTACCCGCCATCACCGTGCACGTGAATTAACATCCGCTGCTGCAGACAAGCCCTATCCACTGCTGCGAGGCTCACCAAACTTCCACCACGTGAGCTGTGCCACCACAGCCCCCACGCGGTGCTCTGTCACTTGGGCTGGGTAGCAAGACAGGCACAAAGAACCCCCGGTTGGTTCCACCTTTCCTGATATCAGACTGCACAAACTCGCAAACATACTCTGGCATATTAATTGGCAAGGAGTTTCCGGTTGGCGGGAGGGACCCTGAAAGCCCAGTTAGCGCCTGGCCAGTGTTTCCTGAACTAAGGGGTTGGCTTTTCATGGCCCCAGTCCATATGACTGGCCTCTAGCTGACCTACAACTTAGGACATTGGCCTATTGGGTGATTTTTTTCCCTCTCAGAAATAGCTCCCCCCCCCCCCCAAGCTCTCGTAGCTGCTGGAAATCCTAGTACTAGGTGGTTATTTCCTGGCAGACTAGCTTCTGGTTGTCTAGCTCTGGCAAGGCCCTTAGATAGTCTTGTGACAACCTGATTATCTAGGCTGAGCCTAATTTTCGTTATCAGTTTTTCTTTCAGAACACCGGCTGATAATTTGGTAACAGCCACAATCACCCAATGGGCACATCATCTTCGTCCGTACCCACAGGTACCCCACTGAGTTGTCTACTGAAAAAACCTCAAATCTTTAAGATTAACGCCTGAGTTGAGGCCTTCCATGGCCACTTAATGGCACCCTAGACCCAATTATTTTAAGGAGTCTTAACACATACAGCCAGCAGTCTGGTAACTGGAAAGAAATTCCCTATGTCCGAGCATTTATCTACCTCCATCATACCCTTTCCATGTGTTCTGTCTGTTCCCCACCCCAGGTTCTCTTAGCCATAAAACCTGCTCAACCTCACACCTCTTTTTAATTTTTTTTTAATTAAACCAAAATGGGGGAATTGCTGAGACTCTAGCGGATATCTGCAGGTTCCACGCTCACTAGCCTAGCCTAGAACTGGTAAGCTTCCCCATCCCCCACTGGCCAGGTCCCAAGAAAGATTTCTTGTCCACATGGTCCCAAGAAAGATTTCTTGAGCTATGAGCTAACCTTGTTCTCCCCTGAACCCTCGATCTACGATTGCTCCCCTTGGATGAGGCACTCCCCCTCTCCTCTCGAGACAGTTTATCATCGCTGAGTATCCCAGGCCAGGCCTGGACAGACTGTTCTCTCTGCCTCAGGAGCGCCGGCTCCCAACTATAGTCCACAGCATGTCTCTCCCAAGGGTCAGCCTTTCGCATGCTACTTCCGCTCCTTCCCTGCCATCTGCGGCCGCCTGGACGCACTCAGTTCCGTCGGTTTGCCTGGAAAGCAGCAGCAGTCTGGGACCCTGCTCGCTGCCTTCCCCCTTTGCCTCCTCCATGTCATTTGCAGGCAGAATGGACTCATTTAGTTCCAGCGCCTTGCCTGAAAAGCAGCGGTCTGGGACCCTGCTCGCTCCCTTCCCCTTGCACCCTGCCAGGGACCTCTCTGAGACTTGCTTCCCCATGTGCGCAACCACCTGCACAAAGGGCTTGGCTGCCCAAGCACGAGAGGGAGGCCCTCTCCTCCCTCTCCCTCTCCCTCTCCCTCTCCCTCTCCCTCTCCCTCTCCCTCTCCCTCTCCCTCCCCCTCCCCCTCCCCCTCCCCCTCCC